CGACTGCATGACAGGCTGAAAAAATTGAGGCTGCATTGCTGAATTATCTCAAGTTGTGACTATTCGCTTACAGGAAAGATACTGATATTAGTATTAGATGGAGAAGGCAGCTTGGAAGTACAGTTTTTAAATAAGAGAAACTAGCAATAAATGAGCTTTTAAGCAACTGAAAAGTAGCTCTGCTTTTTAAAACAACAAACTCTTACCTGATCATACTCTTGTTCTTTTGTCAGTATCTCTAAAGTAAAACAGCAGTTTATTGCAAAACTGAAGTCAGAAATAAGGCTAGGGTTTGGATCTTTACAGCACTTGCACATGAAATGAGACTGGAAACCTTGCTGATGAGTCGAACTTCAAAAAGAGGCTTAAGCTTATTTTCTAAGTCATGTTTCATAGGTTGACTGCCTTTGTTTTCATTTTGGAATTTTCCTGGTTCTGATGCAAAAGCTTTAATGATAGCAGACACTGAAGCAGAATTTGTCTTACCCCAGTTAAACAGGAGAAATATTTGCCCTTTAAGTAGTATCCAGCTGCTATGCAGAGAGCTGCTTCATTGAAGGGCAGAGAAGAGGGGAGTTAAGTTATACAAAAGAACCATCTGAGATAGGACAGTGATTGGCACAACTGCAACTATATATGGATTGTGAATTACTACAACTTAAATGGTGAGCTGCAGGGATAGCTCCTTTTCAATTCATTTAAAGGCATAACAGAGGTACACTGGACTGTCCTGTAGTTTGGATGCGTTTAAAAAAATGGTGAAATCAAGGTCTGATTGTCAACTTGTACTGTTAAAACTGAAAAGACTTGGTATTATTCCTTTAAAGTGAAAGAACCTTAGCAAATTGGCCATGCAAGCTATGTAAGGTAAATAATATGAAAGCTGTCATGCAGCAGAGTCAGTAAAGGAAAGTTAACACTTATCAGATTTGCTAGAGAATCCATTAAGGAACCCAGAAAAACTAGTACATTTTGCAAAAAAAAAAAAAAAAAAAAAAAAAAAAGAGAGAAGTTGAAAGTTGAACTGATACTTAGGTTTACCTACAGCAGTACACTCAGTACAAGATCATCCGTTTTTTCCAGATGAATCTCTTTTTTGATATTTGCTCAGACTTAACACCACAGCATATTACATAAGAATATCTGCTCTAACATTTACACATGCATATATTAGCTTTTATTTTTAAACACTGATGCTATAAACTGCCTCAGCTAATTTAGTGTGAAGTAACTGTTTTTAATTTAACCTTAAATAGCAGAGCAAGGGAAAATATACGGAAGTAAATGTCATAATATCAGAACTTGAAATCCTGAAATATTTTCAGGATACAGTTGAATTCCTTTGTCCACGTACTGGACTTTAGTAATGCTTCACATCCTATTTATGGTTTTAAAGTAATGAGCCCTAGGAAAGAATATTCTAATCAAAAATTTTATTAAACAATCTAGATGTTTGACCATCATTCAGTATGAACTGTATTGGAAAGTTTGATGGTAAGGAAAAGGCATATGATTGGCCCAAAATGTTGCTAATTCATAATCATGTATGTGCTAATGCCCACTACTAACCTGTCATAAGTAACACTGCTTGCTTGCATTCTCATTAGTGTAGCATGCGAAAGGAATGGCTCTGTTTTTATGCTTGCTCTTACATTAACATACTAAAAGTATTGAAGTCAAGAACGTATAAAGTTGTTCATGTTTTGACTGGCCAATTTCATGTCGTATGTTTTCCACTTCATAGACACTTATACCTGGAAATTCATGTGTTTTATACAAAGGTTCATTTTGTATTTGAAGTAGCTGTATCATTTGTTTGTCATGATCAAATATTCCTTTCCTGTGGCACCTCACATTTACAGTTACCTCCTTTTCTGGTTCACTTTTAAATATGCAGTAGTGGAAGGGATAACTTCTGTGCCTGCCTCTAAAGTTGAAGTAGTCCTTTTCAACTGTACATTAAATGAAAATCAATAGTACAGGTAGGTAGGTAGTTATTAGGGAGAGTTCAGTGGCCCAGCTACTTAGATTCTGTGCTCTTCTTTTCTACAGTCAAGCTCAGTGTAGAACATCTTAAGCAGTGGATCGTTATCATAGTACATCAGATAATGATACTAAAAATGCCTACAGAAAGATAAAAAGTTTAAAATTAACTAGCTGGAAAAGCACTTACTTTTTCATCTGCTGTAGAAACAAATCCTGTAGTTGGGATAAAAGGGAGCTGCTTATGTTATGAAAATTTGGTTTTGTGGATCAGAAACTTATTTTAAATGCATGAATGTGAGGTTAGGTGAGAAGGTTTGGTTTTAAAGTATCTCCAGTAATTGTTTTCTTCATTACTATCAAAAGGCCTACTGAACAGTGTGACCTATGTGTCTTCTCCCGGAAGACTGTTTACGAAATACAGTTCAGTAACCAGGACACTGATTTTGAAAGTGACAATGGGGGCTGGGTAGAAGAATCTATTTAAGATTCACCTAGATGATGGATTTAATGAGTTGTAATGATACTGATGGTTTGTTCTATGCCTTCTGGTTGATTTCTTTTACGACTGAAATACTAACATTCTTAGCAGAATCTGGTACTCTTCTCCCAAGACTGTGATACAAGACTTGAGAGAAGATGTATAGTTCAAACCTCCCAAGAAAACATAAATCCTGGAATTATGTTATAGGAAAGGCTATAGAATCTTTGAGTTCTGGTAATATGGATGAGAACATTTACCACTCCTCTGCAAGGCAAGCCAGCTGGTGTCAGACACAATACAAGAATGCTATCTACTAAATTAACAGTATCATTCAATACAAAGTTACTGCAATTCACTAGTGAACTGTTTATGCTTAGACAATGGGACCCTTATTGAAATAAGGGAGCAGGGGAGGCTGCACTCAGACTTTAATTATATTTCTGCTTTTGCCTCTTTCATGTCATTTAGCACAGAAGCTTTCAACTTAGCACAAATTATTTTATAAATGTGTAGGTTTCAGACTTAATTTTTGAGATATGGTTCAAGGTCTTTAAAAGATGCCACCTGAATTTAAAAAGAAGTCTCTGTTTGGATTCTCTGACTTAAGTGATCTAAATGATTTTCCATTTGGAGCAGCTGCTATGTTGCAATAGGCGATGTTTCTCCTGCAAAGTCTGTGGCATATTATAAATTCGCTTTCCAAAATACTGACTTAATATTTTCATTTACATATTGTGAGCTGTTCTCGATTTTTCTGGTCTTCTAACTACTAGTGCAGTCAGTCACCAGAAATGCAATATTTGAGGTCATTGGCTTGGACAAAATTCTCCCCCCTCATTAACAGAGGGCAAAGAATACGATGTTCCCTGTAATCCACAGGAAAGGGGTTTAGTATGCGTTCAGTTTAAATTTGTTTGCTGTTTTTGTGGCAATGCCTCCTTTTGACACCGTACATGTTCCCATCACTTCTGAAAAACCTTTGGTGGTGTTTACCTGGCTGATCATCTAGATGCCAGACTTCTTGCTGAGTGACCAATCCTGATTTGATGTCAGTGTCTGAAATGAAGTATCACTTCTACAGGGCACTGAGGAATCTGATATCAAATTATACTTTGCTTTCTTCCATTCTTGAAAAAGAAATGTTTTTCTCTGTTATGTACATGACTAAAAAGGTATGTAGGAGAAGCAACCCAAACATAAGCTTTATTTGTTTGGCTTAGCCTTTTTGTGTTCATGTGTGCGCGTGCACATATGTGCCAGCCCTGCGTTTGAAAAGCCCTTGTTGATCTGTCCTTTCCGTTTTCTTTCTAAGGAAATGTATCAGAAACACAATATTTAATAAGATGTCACTGTCCAGACCGCTAAATTTCCTGTTCCATTTTTTTTGTGCAGATTCTAATTCCAGTATTCAAGAACCACTTCAAAACCCTTCTTCAGAGCTTCTTACAGAGACAGCAAGCAAGGAACTGCACAACCACCTCATGCTAGATATTGACAATGATACAGAAAGCACTGCTCTGTAAAGGAAACTCTAAAACTTTTATCTTTCCTCTCCTGGTGGAAAACTAACAGACCTAACGGTGAAAAGCTTCTTTTGACGATATGGCAAAACTGTATAGAATTTTGACTTGTGCACTGCTGAGAAAGTGACTTAGCCATTCAGAAGAAGTTTAATGATCTGTGTCTGAACCGTGGTTTTCAAAATCTTGAATGGAAGGAATTGATTCCTGCAGAAACTTGCATAGGAAGCCTAATTGCTGCTAATACCAATAGTATTAGCAGAAATTCCAAAATGAGAAGCAGCAGAACATTAGTTATTTAAAGTGCATGTATTATGGAAATAATCTTCTTAATGTCACGGTTAGACTTTTATTTCTAGTTCTTAGACATTACAAGGAGATGCCTTGCAAGAGACATTCCCTCACTGATTTGCTGCAGATTTTTGTTAAAATATGAACCAAAAAATGCCAGAGTGCTGTTGGTGACTGCTGGTTATCAGTTGCCTGTCAAAACTGTGGATGTATTCTAGTGCCTTGAAGGACTGTCATACTGTAGAAGGAAACTTACTGTATCTTTAACCATTTCATTGCTCCTTAATGATCAGTACTTAATCCTTATTTCATAGTTATTTGTATTAACCAAACCTGCTTTTTGTTTATGTGAAACTTGCAACTGTTTCAAGATAAAACTGTGGAAGTGTTTTTGCTTTCATTGGAAAATGGTTGAATTTTGAAAGAACTTTGGTCATCTGTTTGGATTCATCAGTTGGGTGAACATTTATAAAATTAAAGATTGTCTTTTGTCAACTGAAGGCATATTTATTCAAGTCTCCAAATATTGCTGTTTCTGTGGTACATTTGAAACAAAAGTTCTACACTGAAGGTTATGCAACTATGCCCTGGGCTTTTTAACTCATGAGTCACTGGCAGCTCAGCTTGATCTTCTTTTAAGAAGCATACTGGGAAATGAATATGCATTTGTTCCTTAATATGTAGACAGGAATGCGTCTAGCTGCAAAGAAAAATGCTGGATACAGCCCATATCATGGAAAGAAATGTGATGGGATAGGCCATACAGTTTCTGTGAATGAGAGGGAGGGAGAGGAAGAGAAGACTAGTCACTTGAGCAGGAGTTGAGATAGCATTCATATAACTAGCTGAAACTCATTTACTTAACCTATAAATTCCATAATACTCTATAATACATCTTAGTCAAGGTATTAAAATATACCTCAGGCTCACTTGTGAAATAAAACTACATTTCCTAAAGACCTTTACAGGATACATTGCCTTTAGTGACTAAAAATATTTATCTTGTCACCATCTCCTTCATGCCACAGTTGTAAAGTATCGATGGCTTCCCCAGTGGTTCCCTATTTCAGACATCTCTAAGTAGGAAAGATCCATCCCATTAGTAGATGTAGACCTAACTTCCTCTGTCGCTACACTAGCACTGTAGCAAACTCCCGCAGCTCTAAATTTGGTGTTTATAAGCCAGAATTCTAGTTCTGTGGCTTAAACTGACCTTTGTCCCTAAAACTGTAGGCAGTGTACCTGAATCCATAGCAGGTTGTAAAGGATTTAAATACATTTTCAGAAATTCTTCTGGACTTGCACATTCTTCAGTGTTACACAAATAGTTAATTGTCTCTGCTGGGATTAGCAGCTCGGGTGCAAGAGTATGTAGATTGTTATTCAGATCATCACTGTCATCCTTGATAATAAAGAGTATATTTCAGTACAGTTAAAATAAAAACAGAGCTATGACACAATTACAGTGAAGGAAATTTGCCAAGAACAGCAGGGCTAGAGTTGTTATCCCTTTTTTTTAACCAAATATAACTTTATCCTTTGTTCTTAAGAGTACACAGCAACAAGGAAAGTGTAGCAAGCAACATATTACTTCAGGAGTGACATTTACATGACTTTAAGCTATGTTCATACAATTGGCTAGTTCAATAAAATGGCAGCACCAAATAAGCTAGCATAAGTCTTAAAAAAAGAGGGGGTGGGGGAATAAAATGATGGGTTTCCTTAACATTTTAACACAGCTTCTAGAATCCTTGCAGGTATATGTGCTTGTAAACTGTATTTGAAAGACAAGAACATCTGCTTACTGGTGTGGATTTGGGAGGTAAATCAAGTAAATTTCTTATAGTGTAAATATTTAAAGTTTACCTCAAACATTTTTGGAACATAGGCTGCCAGTTTGAAGAGGAGAGTCAGACACTCTGTGACTACCTCTACTGTAGACTGTGACTGTGTTGCATCTTGCAGGTATGTCACAGGAGGCGTCACTGTTGTAACATACCAGTCTGGGAACAGTCTGGTTGGGATGTTATGCGACACCACTAAAACTTTAATTTCCTGGAGTAAAGCACTGAGTGGAAAGAGCGAATTCCATCCTTAAGTACAGCAACGAGTTTTTACCAGATGTTCAAGTTTCATAAACTAAGCATTGATCTGTTTGCATTCCCAGAGCTCTGCTAGAGCATTATATGCATACAGCATTATCATAGCACCTTCCCCCCAGTCCTTGTAAATTTTGGATCTAGCTACAAGAAACTTTTCCATATTGTACTACAACATCCTGTGCAAGGTTATTAAGCAGACTATGAAGGAACAATTCTGGTCAAATGTCACAGTAAGAAACAGGCAAAAGAGCAGCAGGGTTTAATAAATGCAAGAGTATGATGGTAGCTTTCTTTGATACAACTCCTTCTACAGACAAAATTGCGTGGCTTTCATGAGGTCCAGTTTTCAGTGAATAAATAAGAGGCCATAGAGGAACGTATGTATTGGTTAAGCTACAGAAGATGATAATTGGCTGAACTCTGGTGACGGGTAGGCAGTGTTGAAAGGGAAAATAACAGGTAGGAAGGCAGTGACTAATACTCTATAGATGACTTTAGAATTCTAGTATGTATACCTACAAATGTTTACAAAGCAGGATACAGAAATCATGCAGGCAATTGGAATTAAGGAATGAATTTTCCTATTTTCTAAAACCTTTCAACACTGTTTGAAGTCTTGGCAACTTGAAGATGAACTTCAATGCAGAGGACTATGCAAGAGTCCGCTGTCACTTAGCCAACTGCTCCCTGCATACAGAAAAGATGCATGTCATATTAACTTGAAAATGGTATCTGCACTATGGGCCACAGGCATTCAGTGGGAGAACAAAATAGGTTGTTATCATAGGTAATGTTCAGTTTATCCTTAAAGGAAGCATTCTACCACTGCTGTTGCAAATTTTCTGTCAACTAAGCTAACGTGAAACACTTACCTACGTCCTTCATTTTGGAGAGAAGCTAAATCTTGGATGATAAGATGTATTGTACCAATGCAAGACTGCAAAGGAAAAAGGAGAATTTTTATGAAATTGCATATTACAAAATAGTTGTGAAAACAAAAATTCATCAGCTGCACTATAAATGGACTTTCCCTTTGAGTTGCAGACACAGAAGACAGACCAGCACCACCACATCGTTATTAAGGTCCTAGCTCTTTCTTTTTAACCCAGCGTATGGAGTAGGTGGTAACTATTCATTTGTAGCTAGCTGGATCTTAGAACTCAAGTTTGCATAAATGTGAATCAAGCCACTTGATCCCAAAAGGGGCTTACATAACTTACCTCTACTACATGAAGAACACAACTGGAATAGAGAAGTAGTACACCTGAGACTTGTTCTCCTGAGTGGCATTTTGATGCATTTTCAAACAACCTTTTGTGGTAACCTGTTTCAAAAGTAAAATTGGCAGTTTGTCATATGGCTTATAGTGAAAGTCCTACCAAGTTAGCATTGTATGTCCTGTTGCAGATTCTTCTCTCTGAGTCTGTCTACCACAGACAACAGATTCATAGATTATGCTTTTATTATTCAGAGGAAATGTAAAAGCACTGTTAACATGGGAATCTTTTCTTGACATATGCACCAACACAATTCATATTAGCTCCTAAAGCTGCACCAAAATCTGCAATATTTGCTTTGAGTGGCTGCAGTGTGAAATTCACATTAGCGTTTGTTTACAGTAAAGATGTAGTTACATCTTTGTTGCTGTAGTTGCTTTTAAGTACATTACCTGAAGGCCCTGAACATAGAGCACTCAGAAGTTTTGCATGTGCAGTCTAATTCTTGCTCCTGCTTGACATTGGTACTAATACAGTTGCTTATTAAAAAAAAAAAACTTTTTGTATCCCACTCATCAGAGAAAACATTCAATATACATTAATTACTTTGCTGAGAAACTCATACTTGAAAGTTGGTTGTAAAAGCAGTATCATACTTTGAGAATGAATTCTCTTTTTCCCTCAGGGTATATAATACTTGTGCCTTATTTGCTAAGGAAGGATCCTAAGTGATAATTCTCTTTATGTTATTTAACAAAATGGTATCTTTTAATTTTCTGCGCTACTGCAAGGCTTATATACATCACTGCTGTATGCTGTTCATACTGTCACTCCAATATACATGCAATGCAATGAGCATGATTTTGGTATGTGGCAGTTTGTTACAATTATGCGCAATTTACAGTTTTGATGTAGTCAAAGAGATTTTATAAAAGATGAAAATGAAATACAACAATAGAATGTCACCTAAGAGATCACCTAGAATACCAGCATGTATTTTGAAGGTAATTTGTTGTTTTCAACAGTTAAGCTATATTTAAGAATCCTTTTCAAAACTTGAATTGAGGATAAAGTCAGCTCCCTCTGGTGTACAGCACTAGAATTATCCTTTACAGTAAAGGAAAACTGTTAAGTAGTCAGTGAAACCAGAACTTCAGTATAGTATAGGAAGAAATTTGCAAGTTAATTTCTCGTGTCTTCTCAGTTCAGTGTCGTGAAACACCGTTATGAGCTGTGCACATCGGTTTCACTTTGTATGTGTTTTGGTATTCTAAATCCTAAAAGGAAGTACAGTAATACTGCAGCTGTGCCTGCTGGAGCCACCCCCTGCCCTGAATGAACTGAATTTTCAACGATACTGCTGCCTAACTCAGTAGTTAGTTCCTTTATCTTAAAAATAAAGGTCCTTATGGGGCTGGGTATGAAACCCCTAAAATATCACATCCTGGAGAGAGAGAATGCGAGCGCATTGCACACCAATGCAAGTGCAGCAGGTACCAGCATTTACTCGGGGTGCGAGGGGGGTCTTTAGGATGAGTAAGAACGCAGATCGACAAGGCGCGTGCCGCTGCAGCGGGGGCGGCAGGTCGCAGAGGAGGGTCTGCGGGTGAGGGCACGCCTGGGATCACATCTGCGCAGCACACTTTGCACTACCGGACCGCGATAGCTTTGCCAGCGAGCCCAGCGATGTTCCCACCGCCGGGTCCTCCTCCTCCTTGATTCCCAGCCCCTCCTGGGCGCACGGTGGAGATGCTTCAGCAAC